GATACGTTCTGCTTTCCAAGCGAAAAACACCATAAAGCGGAACTGAAGAACCTGGAGGACATGAGGACTCAACCGTAACCTCTGGTATGGGAAATCTCCAACCCTCTAACACACTCGAAGAAGGTCCTCAGAACTTACGCCCGAGAAAAATCAAAGATTTTTCTTGATTTAAGTAAGAACAATCTTCGGATTGTCCCGGGGCTTCTAACAGGACCCTGTCTCCTCAACGAACACCTCAGTAGATTGAAGCTGAGAAACAACTGCGAATGCAGATTCTGTGGGGAAAATGGGGAAGACAACCTAACCAAACCTATTACAATCTAACCAAACCAACGTGGCATAAACTTTGGTACGGCTGCGATGTCGAAGATGAAGAGCTGGTCTCTGTGGAGCCGTCCCAGATACTGGCTTTTGTCAAAGAATTGAGACTGTATGATGAGTTATAACCCGCTATAACCCAAGAAATGGGAAAACAGGTATCCTAATGGAAGGTCGCGGTGAGCCCCCTGATAAACATTCTACATATAAAATGACAGCGACCTTCATTTCACAGCCATCGCTGGCGCTGATGCCATTTTTTTCGATCGTATAGTATTTACGTTTCGGAAACATGTGGTTTTTATATTAAGAATCATAATTCTACAAATATGGTACATAACCATATTGTAGAATTTAAAAATAATTATAAAAATTCTTCAGAATTACTGATTTTATAATCGGTTAAATGGTTTTACCGGACTTTACATAAACGCACCGAAGAAGATTTTCTTGACTATCTTAAGACTTATCTTACCCTTACCTTATTTCCGCTATTATTGATGATCTCACTGACTTTATCACAACTCTAACATAAATCGATCTAAGACCGTGGTTATGTTGAAGCTGTGATAAGCCATAAAAGCAAAGATAGCGAAGGAACGAAATAAAATGTAAGCATTTGTAGGGAGGTGTATACAGATACAGCGCAAACTCTCAACTCAGTGCTTTAACAGTCAAGCACTGAGTTGAGAGGCGCTTTTTGCGTGTAAATACATGCATTATACCTATTCGTTGCTACGCTAGTATATAATAGTAGTAATATAATCGTTTATAAGGTACTTAAATAATTAAGCAATATATGCTTGATTTCATGAAAAGGAATAAATAACACAAATATGTCACATCACAGCATGATGCGTGGAAATACCGCATCAATATTTTATTTTTCAGACGTAATATAAGTATTTTTACACCATTTAAGTATGTTTTTCCTTAAAAACAATAATATCGACCTTTAACCAAGTAGGTATCTAATGGAGCTGTAAAAAATAAAAATAAAACCGTTAATTATTTAGTATATTTGCATTTAAGATATAATATATATTTTGACGATTTTTTATATTCATGCAAAAACATATAAATTATTTATTTTTAGTCTTTATTAAGTTCCTGGAACTTTTTAGGTATGTGATCGAATGATATCCACGAATATGGTTAGATCTAGAAATATAGCCAATGACTAAAGAATACAAGGACAATCAACATCCAAGACCAAACTGTCACCATACTTCCAAACAGTGCCGGGGCACATATTTTTCTTAATATAGCTGTCAAAGTATAGCTGCTTGAATATTTATATTTTTAATAAATGTTTTGACTACGCCTATGGTGTATGCATGCGGTGGTGTCATACTAATTAATTACGAAAAAAATCTATTAAAATGTCAACAAAAGATGGAATTCAATAAAAAAAACGCTAAAAAGGTGGAGTGAGCGGTTTATTTACCTAAACGTAACTCCTGCCTCTTTCTTATCGCTGCGGCTTTTAAGTTTAAAAGTTCAACTAATCACCATTGTAATAAAGTTTATATCGTACAAAGTTCACTACACACAAACTATTAATAATCGCTGATGGCCAGTTGTTGACTCATTCGTTACTTCCAAAAAAAATGGCGTGTAACATCACAAATTCTGCTGCAGCCCGTATATGGGCGTTACATGTCCTAGTATTCTTTAGGCATTGATGCCATGAATGTGGAGAGCGATTAAGTTTCGGGGACACGAACACTTTGAAGCGGGCAAAAATACCGACATTAAACGGGAAACGAGCAGTGAACCCCGTGATAGTAGCATTTATTGGCATTTTGAACTGAAGATGAACTGAAGCCTGCGTGAAAATGACAATCACATTTTTGCTGGCGATTAAAGCTTGATTTTCATGCATCCGTTGTCCGACGATACGATATTAATTTCATTGGTGGAATTTAAGACTTCGATTGGTTAGAAACGGTTAACCAATCAAAGCCAAATTCAACCAATAAAATTAATATCGTATCAACGTATCGTCGGACAACGGATGCATGAAAATCAAGCTTTATATGTAGCGTTCTCTGAGCTATATTATAAATTTTACTAGTTTTAAGGTACATTTGTGCAAATAACATTTAAATACAGATTCCAAATAAGACGAAATTCTAGGCGGAAGTACAACTTCAAAGCCTCTTTAAAGAAGTCTAATACAACTTTTGCATAAAATCGATCATCTGGGAAGATATCTGACCTTTTCAAAATTTACATGGGATTTCCCACGTCCCGTGTTCCGATGGACCACACGGTATAATAAATCTATAATCCACTATAATCGCAGTTGTCACACAACTCAAACTCGCTGTTAGCCTTGGCGCTTTCTAATGTAGATAATATTTATTATTCAAATACTTTTTTGAGAATAAAATCACAGAATATCTAGCTACGCAACAGAAAAATACTCGAAATGAAAGAGCTAAAATTGCACAAATAAAATACTAGATGGCGCGACAATATCATAATCTGAATTTTCGGAAATTTTCAACTTTCGGTTTTGGATCGACAGCACTTCGATGGCCTTGAAGCTCTGCTAAATATATACACAGTTGCCAGATTCAAAAAGACTTTAATTGGCATCCCATTCTTTTTCTGGTGTATAATAGCTTCTTTCTATTCTTCTTTTCTTGTCAGATACATTTATATTAATTATTTGTTTGGTTTTTAAAACAGTTTTAAGTTTAAGTATATTATTAGAAAACATATGCTCACAAAATACATTTTTAATATACACTACTTTATATGTTAACTAAGAAAATAACTTTAATTACCTTTAAAATTAATAATATACAGGGCGATTGATAGTGATATTTATTAATGCTGAACGTTAGTAATGAAATATACGTTTAATAATAATGGAAATAATTTATTAAAATGCAGTACAAAAAATGTTAATTGACTAAAAAAATACTATAATAACAAATTTCTTCTGTTTGCCACGTTATTTATATAGACCTAGGTAGATTTTAAAAAGTGACACAGGTACAATTAACAATATATTAGTTCGGCATAAAAGTTGCTGTCACGACATCGTACAATAAATTAAAAATCGTAAAATAAATTAAAATTATTAATTAAACAAATCTTTATAAAGAAACGTAAGTATCCCGAATTTGGACTCATTCGAACTGCAGGAAATGATATCATAATATTGTACTATATTATGGTACCACTCAATATACTTCATAATATTGCATGTCACCGAAGATCCGTAGTATACCAAATTTAAGCACAATCGAACGCCAGGAAATGGTATCGTAATATGGTACTATATTAAGATAGGTACCACTTATATGCATCATAGTACCATCATATTACAATGTCATCGAAGATACGTAATATACCAAGTTTAAGCCCAATCGAACGCCAGGAAATGGTATTGTAATATGGTACCTCTTGATATGCTTCATGGTACCATAATATTGCAATGTCATCAAAAATACGCAAGTGGTATATGAGCCGAATCGAACGTCAAGAAGTGGTATCATAATATGGTATTATAGAAGGTACCACTTTATATGCATCATAGTACCATCATATTACAATGTCACCGAACATACGTAGTATACAAATTTTAAGCCCAATCGAACGCCAGGAAATGGTATCGTAATATGGTACTACATTATGGTACCCCTTGATATGCTTTATGGTACCATAATATTGCAATGTCAAAAAATACGCAAGTATAATCAAATATGAGCCCAATCGAACGTCAGGAAGTGGTATCATAATATGGTACTATAGAAGGCACCACTTTACATGCATCAAAGTACCATCCCAAGTAGCACAAATATGTTTACAGCAGTTATATAAACTGCTACATAACAATATGTAATATAACCTTAAATTTTTATAAGAGTGTTGTAAACCCTTATATGATCCTTATAAACACGGAAATGGCCCAGGTTTACAAAATAAAATTATTTTTTTTTTAGTTTTATAAGAGTCGCAAACAACACTTTTAAAACAATATTAAGTATTTTATAAAATGTTTATAAATCTGTTTTATAAGCGCTTTATAAATTAAGCGGTAGTTTATCTAAAAATATGCTTCCAACAGTTACTAGATATTAACAAAACACTAATAAAACTGTTTTATAGTTTTATAAGAGTCGCAAACAACACTTTTAAAACAGTATTAAGTATTTTATAAAATGTTTATAAATCTGTTTTATAAATGTTTTATAAGCGCTTTATAAATAAAGCGGTAGTTTATCTAAAACTATGCTTCCACAGTTACTAGATATTAATAAAACACTAATAAAACTGTTTTATAGCAGATTTATAAATATTTTAAAAATAACATATTTGTCTCAGTTAAAATATTTTTGTAGGATGCATCTGCATTTTTTTTTTAATTATCAAGAATAAAATTATAATATCGTGTATTTATAGTGACCAAGATAAAACTGATTTTAAAATGGCAAAGTACACATATAACTATTTAAATGACAGATATGGCTATGCGTAGCTAGATATTCTGTGATCAAATGCATTCTAGATACACACTAGAACCAACACTTTGATTTGTTTTCAAATAGTCCCTTCACTAATCTAAAGTATTTATTCGCCACTGGTTACTATTTTTTTATTTCATTAATTTAACATAACTGACTGGATATATTTAGAACAAATGGAGGCTTTAAATTTCTAAACACTTATTATAAATTCATATTTATTACTGTAATTAAAATGAATATAAAGCACAAAACATTTGTATTTCGGATTTAGATACAGGAAGCCATAATGTGCCCCACACTATCAAAATCAATTTTTTCACTTATGTTCTTAGTCTTAATATTCTCATCTTGGTTTCCAACGAATATTAAATTATCTTGCTCTGCCCTCCAACCATACTTCTTTACCCAAATTTGCAAGGTTTTATCATCAATATCACCTAAAATAAAATAAAAGCCTTAATTAACCTAATTAAACCTTTCATTAAAAAGATTAAAGAGGCTCGCACGCTTAGGAGATGCGTCGTTTTTAGTATGCACGCGCACTTACGCAGGAAGGCGCGCCGCCCTGCATCCTTTAAACGAGCGGGCTTTCATTTAAATAGATACAAACTTTTCTGGCGAAAAAATTCACGCCGCACCGTGCCGCGCCTCCTAAGTAGGTAAAGGTAAGTAGTAAAGGTAAAGTAGGTCCTTAAAGGTGCGATTCCCTAGCGACGTCTGGCACCCGCGTCTCGCCGCACACTGGTTCGTTTTTATGAATATACGTGGCTAAAACCTGTATTTATTATATCAATGAAAAGTAATGTATCACTTTATAAGGAAACGATCCAGTGCGCGGCTTGTCGCGTCGCTAGGAAATCATACCTTAAGGAAGGAGCATATCAACAGGTCGACCGTGATGGTGGATTAATATAGCTGTCATAAATTCCAGTTGATCAGTGTGATTCAATTTATTTAAAACTTGTCAAAATATAATATAGGACAGTATCAATTATTTATTGGTTTTGTTTTACGTTGTCAATAAATGTTATTAGTTATTAAAATTTCGAAAAATATATTTCTAACAGTCAACTTTCTGTTTTTTTGTTATGGCCGCCATTTTGAAATTTGTACAATTAGATAGAGTTTAGATTTAGTTAGATTGCTATAAATATAATAACCTTAAATCATACAGGGTGTTTAAAATTCTACGCCAAAGTTTCTAAAATATAAAATAATTTTTCTTTGTTTTTTTTTTGTAACAACAAACACTCTGTATATTACATAGACTTAAAATAAAATATAGACTGAGCATCTCATTCATAAATAGCTGGAACATGCGGTCAGACACTGTCTTGTTATTGTTGTGTTATTGTTTTAGGTTATAACGAGTGCGACACGAGCGATAGATAGGCTGTCTCTGTCGTAACGGTCGTTCCCTGACGACTCTGCCGAGAAACACAACACTGTCTTTCGTTTCTCTAATACACCTGAACTCTCCGTATCATAGCCGGGTAATTTTTTTATTTTAATGAAGCTATAATTAAATTAAAAATATATCGTATTTAAACTTTTTTATATTTTATTAAGATTTAGGACAGGTTTTTTAAATAAAAGTTTAGAAAAAACAATTTAGAGTCCAAAAAGGATAAAAATAATAAAATACACGTTATAGAAGAAATTTTATAATCGAAATTAGGTAATTTTTGAAATTAATAATAAATTATTAATTTTAGTCAAATATAGATATAATAGAATCGGCGAGAGGGAGAGAAAAAAAAATATGATTGTTGTAATTTTTTTTCTGGCTAAGTGATGTCTTATTATGTAAATTAGAGAATACATAATATCTGTTCCATTAAAGCAAGGAAGGTGATAGGAAGTGGATAAAATGAAAACTACATTTATTTAACTCGGTACTGTCTTTATTATACCGGGTGCGTCTCAAAAGTGGCTCATCCCCATAATTTTTTTATATTTTCAAATAAAAAAACAGGATTTAGTATGTTAGTATATGAAATAAATTAGGATTGATTGACGGCATTCAATTGTTTTTGGTCACTTCCTGTTTCACCGGAAATGACTATAACTTTTAATTTTTAAACGGCACCCTCGATATATTTCTACTTTATTCGATAGAAAATGACGCTCTGAATAGAATGACATACCATATGTCAACTTTTGACATTTTCGCATATGGTTTAATTGTAATTGTAACACGCGATTCATAACGACAATTTGACTCGAAATACCAAGTGTGTGGTATCAATATATTCATAAAAAAATGCTTTTTCCAAATATGCTAATGAGTCACCCTTGTTCCATTAGAAAAAATTGACATATTTATGAATAAAAATACGATTTGTACATCTTTTAACCGGCCTAGACAAGACACGAAATCTATTAGACGATCAAAACTATTTTTCCAAGGCTCCTTGATTAAAACTTAGTGGATTGAAAAAAACTGGATTGAAATTTAAAATAGGATATGTTTTTAAACGACAATGTCAAAAGTTGACATATGATATGTCATTCTATTCAGAGTGTCATTTTTTATCGAATAAAGTAGCAATATACCGAGGGTGCCTTTAAAAATCAAAAGATGTAATCATTTCGGTGAAACAGGAAGAGACCAAAAACAATTGAATACGTCAATAAATCCTAATTTATGTCATATACCTACTAACATACAAATCTGTTTTTTATCTGAAAAAATAAAAAAAAGTTATAGGGGTGAGCCACTTTTTGAGACGACCCGGTATATTAAAAACATTGTTTCATAATGTAATATCATTTTAAAATTCTTGTATGTTATTTTAGATTCTGAAGATAATTTTAGAATAAACCGGAATATATTTTAATAAAAACATTATTAATTATTAACAGGGTTATAATTATGATTTTGTTACAATGTAAGTAAGTAAATAATGTAATGTAAAAGAAAAAAATTCAGATTTTACATTTTACTAAAATATTATCTAAATAAGCGCCTTTCTACAACAACGCCACTGACTCCCAATGGGTAAATTGAGAGTTGCCTACCGGTCAAAAGTCGTTTCAAGACTTAAATGGATTATTTAAGTCAAATTTCTTGAAAATTTGGCACTGGCGAACCATATTTTATAGTTTTTGAACAGAAAAAGTCAATAAAATAAACACTTAAGGACTACAAGCTAAGAAAATGCGTTAATACAGCCGGGGAGATAGCGGCAACAAAGCTTTACCGCACACGTGCGACACGTACTACAAGGTAATAAATGAATGAATAGGCTCCCTCGCCTCTAATCGGTGTTGTCATATTGTAAAGAACTTATCCTTATTAAACAGTATCCGACTTATAATTTAGTAGTATAAGGACTATTTAATACATCTATGGAATATTAAAACCTACTTTATTAAACTGTAGTATTAATATCTCAATATATGTGTATAACAAGAAAAAAAATATTGATAATATTAAAGACGTGACAACATAGGCTGGATGAGGAAGGCTCGGTCGACTGTACCCAGAAGTAAACATGTGTACAAAAAAGGTTGTTTGTCCGCGTTGAGATGTAAATAGTGTAGTCTATATTTTATTTTAAGTCTATGGTATATTATGTTTATGAGATGGAGAATTAAAAAATGAACATTTTTTGTATTTAAATTATTTCAAAATTTTTAATGGTTTCGCAGATATACGCAGTACTATTTCATATGGCTCTCTAAATTGTAAAATACGAGGGAAAATACAGTACCTCTGTCCGTTCTGTGGCTACGGGGTATCTGTGAGAGGGGAAACGATATTCTCTCGATGTTTTTCGTAAAAAATTAGACGACGCGTCCCATCAATAAAAATTCGACAAATTTGCAAGTAGCCAATAAAATGAGTGGGCGGAGCGATTTGCGTTGACGTACTCGTCAAGTCGACGTATAAAATATATTGCTGTTTATTTAAATGTTTTTTGTCCGCATTCCTTTCATAGACACAGATCCAGCAGACGAACTGTATATGGGCGGCTTTGATAAAAATTTACTGTGAAAAATATATTAAATATAAAACCGCCAACATCTGCAAAACCGTTAAAAATTTTGAAAAAGTCTAAATACAAAAAATGTTCATTTTTTAATTCTCCATCTACTTAAAAGATAATATACAGGGTGTTATATTTAAAAAAAACGAAGAAAAACTAATTTATATTTTAGAAAGTTTGGCGTAGAATTTTGAACATCCTGTATGATTTACGATTACCATATCTATAGCAAAGTAAGTACAGACCATCTAAAGTAAATATCTAATTTAATTTTGATTTCAGAACAGTTTTTGTATTTTTAATATTTTTTTAAGAAAGGCTAAAAATATATATATATTTTTTATTTAACTATTAATATCTCTGGAACTATCGAAATAGATTTACTCGTATCTTAGAATTATGTTAAATTATCTGAAAGGAAACCAAAAATGCAATAAAATATACTTTTTTGAGCCATCCTGTAAAAGTTAAAATATTTTCCTGAAATACATCCTCGAACATACTTTAGTTTTGCACTTAAACAAAATTCACAAGTTTTTTATTTTAGGAACTAGGAGCTACAGATGCCTGACACACTATTGCTGGACCTATCATAGGATTATACTCGGGATTATAGGATATCATAGGATTTAACAACTTATTGCCCTGCAGAGTTTATACATTTTGTAGGGAGCAGTTAGACCTACATAATATTGTAAAATTCTAAAATTAAGAAATTGGCGCTTATCAAGTTTTTCCCCTGGACCCTTCAATTTTGATCTATTAATATCTAATATCGTAATCTTTGGACATCCTTGTTTATGTTAATATACTATAACTGTGAAAACGATAGGTGCAAAAATTGTAGTAGATGTGTAAAATTACAAGAGTCCAAAATGTACAGGGTGTCGTGCCATTTTCGTTTGTTTTATGGGATTACTCGTTTATGAGTAGAGATAAAAAGATTCCATTTTTACATCACTGTTCTTTTTATAAAAATAAAGATGCTACAAACAGATTTGGCCCAGCCCCCTTGGTTTTTAGGGTTCCGTACCCAAAGGGTAAAAACGGCGGGAACCCTTTTACTAAGACATCGCTATCCGTCCGTCACAAAGGTCTATCTTATGAACCGTTATAGCTAGACAGTTGAAATTTTTTACAGATAATGTATCTATGTTGCCGCTATAAGAACAAATACTAAAAACAGAATTAAATAAATGTTTACATCGAAATCAGCAGCATAACTAGTTTTCCCTGGGAGCTGTCATTTCCGAAATATGACTCAAACTTAAGTTTTTTTTTAAATGGAACAACCTGCATATTATTTTCATAAACAAGATAAAAAAATGCACTTTTTAACTTTCTAACATATACAGCCTAGTTTAAAAAGTTATTATCATTTTATTTAATTTAGTTTAACCAGATAATTTTGCTCTCTATTGTGTTATCTTAATAAACTGCACTGA